TGTGTGTGTGTGTGTGTGTGTGTGTGTGTGTGTGTGTGTGTTTTGTAATTGAAACTTGATGTACAACAACCCCATTTTGTTAAATTTAATTGATGATCATTATTTTTTATATACGATACAGAACCAAAGTTATATGTTTGAATATATTAATAAATATCAAAGATTATTAAAGATAATTTTAATAATAATATACCAAAAATCAAACAATGTACATTTTTGTGCTTACTGTCAATAAAAATTTACGTTCCTTTTTTTTACATTATAAATTAATATTTTGTATAATTCTTGATATTTATTAAGAATTGAACTAAATTCTGAATTTATGAATTTGTAGGTACATCCTGTGGATTCTCCAACAAAGAACGGCGTAGACGGGATTCGATTGCACGGTGGATCCAGTGGTGGTGTTGGTGGTGGTGTTGGTGGTGGTGTTGGTGGTGGTTACGCTGGAACGGTGACCACCTCTTCCGGTACGTCCGGTGGTACCGGAAGCGTGAATCTTTCGTCTCCGGAAAGTGCCTACAGTACCGGATATTCGACGGACGGTACGTCGCCCGGTACGAGCTTTCCGCCCGAGTATTACATCAATATCAGGACGGGCACGCATTATTTTCAAAGTAACAATAAAGGTAGGGCGCAGGGAAATGCGGGGAGGATCGAAGACAGATCTAACTCAGAGTCTACCAAGTCTACGAACATGACCGGTGACAGTAAGCAGCTCAAGGACGTTAGAACCAGCACCCCGGCCAAGCTAAATACGCTTGTAAGTTATCATTTCTTTCTTTTCTAATTAACCTAATTAAAAAAAAAAAAAACAATTCCTAGATCGTTTACACCCAACCCTCTATAATCCTATTTTTTATCACGAGAGTTTGTAGGATGTAAAATATGTTGCAGTTATAAAATAAAATATGAATTCCTGTTTGATAATCCAAATCGCAAATTGATTTATATCAAACTTTAATAAAAACAAGTATTCAAACCGATTATTTTGACAATTTTGATAATTCTAATATTAAAATATAAAATTTCGAAGTTACGCGGCATTATATAGAGGGTTGTAATGTAAAATTGAATTATTAACGTATTATGAGCCGTTCACAAAACCAAATCAATTAAACACGAATATTTATGATTGTTAAAGTTAACTATATAATCGTTAAATTAATCGATCGGGCAAGGGGTAAACGGCTCATAAAATATAAAATAAACAAATATAAATATATTATCTTACTTAAAAATTGTGCAGGATATCATCAGAGGTGTCTCATCTATAACGATGGCTTCTCAATTAATATAACGACACGGAAGTAGAAAGTTTCTTTAGAATTCCCTTTTTTAGTGTTGATAGACAGAAGACGAAGGTTCGCGTTCGTCGTAGGGAGATTAGCATCGTTTCACAGAACCACCTACTAGTAAACCCCTTTGGTTGGTTGGTTGGTTGGTTGGTTGGTTGGTTGGTTGGTTGGTTGGTTGGTTGGTTGGTTGGTTGGTTGGTTAGTTGGTGGTTCTCTTTCTTTCTTTCTTAAAGATCTTATGATGCTTTGACGTCTCGGGTTCAACGACATCTTTCTCTCTCTTTCTTTTTCTCTTTCTTTCTCTGACTCATACACCTGTCTTACTCCCACCCTTCTTTTTCACCTAGCACAAACGAAACTTATACATTTTAGAACGAGACTTCTCACGGTTCAATACAAACGAGAACTACCATTCTTCTCTTATATTTTCCCACGAAAGCCACACCGATTTTAGCCGATAACGAGCGATTCGCGAGAGAACGGATCATTAACGTTAATACGAGTGAGAATAGATATATATATATATATATAGGTGTGTGTGTGTGTGTGTATATATACGAGAATAATTTCTATAGACCTTTCATTCAAATCGATTTTCGAATAGTCCAACGAACAATACTTTTTCCATCCTTTTTTTTTCTTTTTTATTTCTCCTTCTATTTTTTTTTTTTATTTATAATTTAATGAGAACCTTTAATTATTCGTCAATTATCGATTGGTATCTAATATATTGATAAATTAAATTTTTAGCATTTTAATTTAAAAAAGAAAAGAAATAAAAATTCGAACAGTAATCAATTTTAAATTAAAAAAAGAAGAAATAGAAATTAAACAAAGACGTATCAACTGTAAGAAAACTCGAGATTATTTAGATATCTAAAAAAAAAAAAAAAATTAAAACGTTGTTCAATCATCAATACTAATTTTTGATCAAAGTATTACCCTTAGCAAAAAAAAACATAGTATTATTACGAATAAATAAATCGTTAAATATGTCGAAAGAAGAATATCTTTTCTTTTTTATTTTTAAAACGAGTATAAAAAAAAAAGAAAACAGAATTCTCCATCTTTCCGAAAAAAGTGCTGTCCATATACAAACGGATGAAAAGAATACGATAGAGATAAAAGTAGTGAATGAAAGACGATTAAAAAACTATTCTCGTATTCTGGTAACGGCCGATCGAAGGAAAGAATGAAAAACGACAGCAACAGGAGGATGATACAGTGCGAAATTTTTCTCAAAACCCGTGGACCGAACGACCGACGAATTCAGCACCCACTCGAGAAAAAAGGGATTTCTCTTCTCATCCTCATTCTCCTGTTCATCCTCTTTGGTGCTACTACTGCTTCTGCTTCTGCTTCTGCTTCTGCTTCTGCTTCTGCTTCTGCTTCTGCTTCTGCTTCTGCTTCTGCTTCTGCTTCTGCTTCTGCTGCTGATGGCGGTGGTTGGTGGTGGGTGGTGATGGTCGAACCGTTCCACGCCGTCTGGTACAATCGAACGGACGTTTTCGCGGAAGCGCTTAAACGAGCGGTCTACGGAAAAGCATTATTGAGTTTCCTACCCCCTTCATCCCCTTTCCTTCCCTGCCCCTATTTCCAAGCTCCCATTCTCTTTCTCTTTCTCTTTTTTTTTCTTTTTTATTTCCAATGCTTTTTCATTTTTTTCCACACTTTTTTTTCTCTTCAAACCACACCCCCTTATTCTCGAGAAACGCGAATTCGTCCTCGTACCGTATACTAGAAAGGAATGAAAAATGAACGCACCCTCTCTGTGTTCTGCTTCTTCTTCTTTTTCTTCTTCATTCTACATGGAACAGATCGATTTGCCAAGATAAACTTCGTTACTTTCTCGTTCAAATTAATCCTCGTTAATGAATTAACGAGATAAAGTTCTCTCTTCATTTTAGATATTATATCTTTTTGTTTGTATTCTTTTCTTTTACTTTTTTTTTTTTTATCTTTTTAAACATATATCAAGTGTACACAGTTCTGTTTGTTTCTTTCTTAATCTAATTAATTAAGTGCTCGTTAAGAAAACAAGTCCAACGAGGAAAAAGGGAAAATATTGAACATTTAATTATGATTTAAATAATGTTATCTATGTACATCGAAAGAAATGTTTGCAGAGCTCCGAAGCCCCCCCGATCAATCATGGATCAAAACAACCACAACAACAACAGCAACAACAACCGCAACAACAATTGCAACAACAGCAGCAACAACCGCAGACTCCACAAAGACAGCAAGAAAATTCCCATAGAAGAACAGAATCTTTCTCAGCTGATTCCTCAAGGAACAATCTTCCTATACCATCCTCGATACCTCCCCCACTAGTTTCACCAACCGTACAATCACCACGTGAACGATCACGAATAAGAACGAATCCTTGGTTGTCGGCAAATTCTTCTGGTTCCAGCACAACTGGATTCAAATCTAGGCTAACCCTCGATGAGACTAGCAGTAGTTCAGGTCTCAAATTGACTGAATCTTCTGGTAGCGCAAGTGACGTCAATGTTAACAGCACGAGAGAAAGTTTAACCAAAAAGGAACACCGTCAAGAAAGTCTCAGCGCTGGACGTAGTCCGTTAGTAACTTATACAAATTTGTTTCTTTTTTTTTTTTTTTTGATTATCTAAACTAATATCTTTGAGAAATCAATTTCCAATCCGATCTATGATAATAAAATTATTCAGAAACGTTTTTTTTTCTTTTTTTTTTTTTTTTGAAAAAAGAGTTGTGTGAACAGTACATACAATGATATCAATAGATCCGATCGTAAATAATAACAATCAGTTGAATTTAATTGTGAATATCGTTTAGAAATTCATATAAAAGATATAGAATGAAAGGTAGAGACGATCGATAATATGAACTCTCTTACCCATGAAAGGTATGGATAGCCAACGCAAATAGCAAATACGTTCTCGTTCGTTCTTACGGGAACGGTGTTGACATCAAAGGAAACGACGATGAACAATGTGAATAGAACATTAAACGTGTTTTCAGAAGTTCCAGTATGTCAGCGTGTAAATGTAGATGGTCCGATATACTTGGTTGGTTTATGGAGAAATATTCAAACGAAATCAACTTAAAGCCGAAGAGTCATATTGAACAATTTAATTATCGTACATAATTAAAAGAGACTTGCTTTTGGTTCTTTTTTTTTTTTTTTTTTTAATAAAAAATGATTTAACGTCTAGGGATAAAAATAAATAATTCTAAATAAAACCTAGCTGGGATAATTCAGATTAAATCGATCAAAGTTAGATAAGTTAATGTAGCCTTTTGACGTGTTCGATGACGTAGGTAAATACAAACGATGACGATCTCGCTTGATTTATTCCCCCCACTGTTAACCTCCTCCCTCCCTCCCTCTTCAACCCAACCCATCAAAAGATTCTCAACATATCACGCGCGTCACAACGTCCATCCCTACCATATCTGTCATATCCCATCTCGACCTTCCCCTTTGAGTAAGCACTCGAACTTTCCAACAAATATTAGCCTTTCATCGTGAACGAAGGATACTAACGGATAAGATCGAAGGACAAGGATAGCCCCTATATATAATAAGATAACTAACTGCACAATATTTTCTTTCTTATATGAGTTATTTTAATTCATAAATCATATTAACGACATATTTTTATTCTGTAGGATCAATCAAAATTGGAGGATCCTACCAGGCATGGATATCAAACCAAAAATACCATTGGCTATGCAACGTCGTACAAGCAGCAGTAGTTCATCTGGATCATCGGTAACAAGGAGTGGTCGTTCATCCGAGGATGACATTACGTTAAACGAGATGATGGGAAAATTCGATGAAAGTTACGTCTACGAAAAGGAAACTGATATCTTGTCGGATAGCGACCCAACCGATTGCGAGGATTACATTGACTCTTTATCAGACGTTGATACCGGTCAAGATGGTGGTGATGAGAACGATCCCTTCGAAAACGATTTTGATTACATCGACAATGGTTCCTTCCTCGATTTAGATAATCTCGATTGTACAGGAAATTTTCCCAATACCGGTCATTGTACTTACTTCACGTTTACGAGCGAACTTAGCAGGCGTGGTACAAGGTTGAGGGAATCATTTTTGAAACGTAGAAACAAGGATGAAATTCTTCCACAGAGGTAACGATTTTAAAATTAATTTGAAAAAGAGTAATGTAATTCAAATTTTTATAATAATTTAATAATTTAAAGTAAAGTGTGTTATGAAATAAGGGACGACTGTCAGTTTACTCTCTAAAATTTTACTTTCTGAAACAATTATAATTATTAATAATGTTTTATTATTATCTAAATATTTGTTGATTATTTTTAAAAAATATACATTTGATTAAAGAACGATCGTTGAAGAACTGAAATGCAAATAATCAATAAATTAAGAATGAAAAATTAAAGACAACTAGTGAATATATTATCGTACAATTATTACCATAAAGCTAATATAGTGATTTTATTTTTAGGACGATGAGTATAAGGAACGCTGCAAAGAGGCAAAGTATTCGTTATAAGAAGACAGATGAAAAACAAAGTGAGAAACGAAAGAAGAGAATCTCTCAACGTAGGAAACCAAACATGGAAAAGTTGGACGACGAGACAGCGAATTTAAATCGAGTCTTGGTAGAGAGAATGTTGCTAAAGAATTCTGGATTTAATCAGGGTAGTAGAAGCGTGGGTGGAACGCCTATATGCCTGCGTCGTAAGAAACACGATGTTAATAAAAATCTATCCCCTATGAGGTTGAACGATAATAATCAATCGATGGTTCAACCTACGATCGTCGAAAACGAGGTCGTCAAAAGACGTTCTAATTCGGTAATCATCGTTTATTAATAATACATTAATTATTGTCGCGAATTCAGCCATTTTATTTCTCAAATTAATAATTTATCCTTGGATTATCTAATTATAAGCTCAACCCATTTGCATCAAAAAATACATTTAGTTCAATAAACCGCAAACAGTGATTGTCACTTACAAATTGTGCGCTCTAAATAAAACCTTTTTCAAATCAAATATTTCTACTAAATTCCAACAATAAAGATTTGTAGTTTTCTTATTATTAGTATTTTAACAAATAGATGTAAAATCCAGGATTCAAAGTTTTAACTTATGGAACACTGAATTCGCTAAATAATTGATAATAATTAATTATTAACTAAAAATAAAATTAGAAAAAAGATAATAATGCACTTAACGTCAATTTCACTTAATTCATTAAACTTTATTTTAACAGGTGAGTTACGTTAATGGAAATATTGTGAGAAGACAGGTCACTGGAAACACATATATGACAACATTCGCGTCAGAAATAGCACTTATCGAAGCGGATAAGGAAGCCGACAGGAAATATCGCGAGTTGATTATGGAAGCTGAAAATATCTTGGTAAATATGCAAAAGAATCAAAGCCCCTTACCGATCGTACCCTCGCCGTCACGAAAGTTTCATAATGGCCTGGCGAACAAACGCGTCGAATTAATCAAGAACACCGAATTGAACATCGAACTTGCTTTATCCAAAAGTAGAAATTCTCAACCAGAATTACAGAGCGGTAATATCAGGGATATAGAACATACCAGTCCGAAAAGACAATTTACACAGCCCTGTTCTCCGGTTCATCGATTTATGGAAAGAAATTCGTGCGGAAACATATCAAGGGACGTTCCATTTAAACAGGAACTTTCCAATTGTCCTGATTCACCTTACGTAGCTAGAAGAACACCGCAAAGTTCACCTAGCAGAAGTCTCGTTCATTCTCGTGTACGTGTTTGTCCTACGACTGGTGGAAAAGATAATGGACGAGCTCGTGTACTGTTAAATTGCAATGGAGTACCTCATTCTGGTATTGAAACAACAGAGTGTCAACCATCCCAAGGTTCATTCTCAAATAAGACTACTCAATTTTTTCCGCAACAACAACAGCATAGAGATTCTTCACGACTAACGATAGATAATAGGAAGGATTCGAGAGTTTCAAGATCGATGAAGGAAGAAGGTGTGACTTCTAGTTCGTCGGATTCTGAAGAAAAGTGTGACATCAGGCGGAGACCTCCTCTGATGACGTTCAGGTGGAATATTCTAAGAATCGAAATAGATGCACAAATTTTGATGATTTATTCCTCATTCTATATGTTTGATATATTGTTTCATTATCTTTCATTTCACAGATCGATCGACATGGGCCCGATCAAGGAAGGTTCTTCTTACTGTCCTCAAAGTGAACCAGTTAAAAGAAAGGTTTACGCCGGTAGTGTAACTTACGGTAGGATACAAAAGACATTAGGTCATCATCATCATAATCAAATGTTACTAAGAAATTCAGATGGTGATACGGCCACCGATGACACCGGTGAGCCCTCAAATATTTTCACAAACTTCGTTGTCCCTTATCCGAGAAGATCATTTCTAAACTCTATCGTATCACTGGATTATTCAGATGATTCTCGAAGATCCTTGAAGGAGAAAGTAGCACAACTACGTCAAGAACGTTTAGCTGCGGAATCCAACGCTAATATTCAAGACTCTCAACTATTTCAACAACAGCTTACCCAATTACGAAGACAAATGTTGATGCAAACTATAGAAGGTTTAAAACGTAGTCTGGAAGATCAATCAGCTACATTAAAGCAAACATGTTTAGAGCCTGTACTGTCTGACGAATTGCCTTGAACTTAACACTATGATGCTTATCAATACTACTATTATTACTATTATTTATAGAAAATACCAAATCATCCTTTCACGAATGAGAAAAGCTGAATTTCTTCTCTTCAGCGATACACGACCACAAACTCCGTTGTGTGGTAACTTTGACTATGAACACACATACAGCATTCGACTTTAAAAAAAAGAAACCCTTGTTTCACAGTCATTACGATGCAACCTGATTACGACTGATGAATTTACAAAATTACTACTGCTCGGGTGCATGCAAGATGATACAAAAGATAAAATATAATAAAAGAAACAATATAATGAGAGTAATATAATCGTGAAAATACTCAAATTTATATAGATAGGTAGATCGTCGATTGATAATTTTAAAGAAAAAAAGAACAAAAATACACTGTCGAATGACGGAGAAAGAAAGAATCTGCTGTAAGTATTTTTCAGGAACGTTCTTTGTATTCTCTCCGAATTTCGTTAGCGTACTTTTAATCATCGAATTGTAACAATATCATTTCACTGAAGATTAAAGGGGATCTAAGATGGCAGAGATAACGATGGAAGAAAAATAATATACTATAGCTGAATTACTACCGAATGCTGTGTGACAACTCTAATGAATTACGCTAAACGAATCGATGTATTTTTCTGCCCTGTCTCTGTAAGTGGTAAGAAGACCCATTCGTAATTGAAAGATGTTGCATAATATTTTGTAGGCATCATTCTTGTTGTCTCTACACACAATTTAAACGACGCTTCAAGTATTTTGATTATTTTCTTTATTTTATTTTTTTTTTGTCTTTTCTTCTTCTTATATATATTATATAAACCTATATATAATATATATTTTCGCTTTAATTTCGTTCACACATTTTGACGATTTAAAAACTTCACAAGATAATATTTCTAACAAGTGTTCGCACATTAATAGGATACATATTATTATTAAACATTTAAATTGAGATTTTTCATAATTAGGTTTTCTTGAACCGTATTAAAGTAGTATGTTCAAAGAGATAAAAGTTAAATTCTAATAAATTTGTAGAAATCTTTGGACTGTTAGTCTAACGGGCCTATTCGGAGGTGTCGCTTTAATCTTTTTAAAAAAACAAGCTTGAGATAAGAAAAATTCCTCTTAAAAAGAAACTATCGTCAAAAAATATTAAATACGAGCGAATACTAAACGAAATATTTAACGAGATAACAAAAAAATAAATAAATAAATGCATGTAGTCTATTCATATAGGAAATATCTAGGAATTCACATCTAGCAGAAACATAAACAGGTAGGTAATAATGAAAAACTATAATAATCAATTAGATATTAGGGAATTCCTTAAATTGTGTACCCAATGAATACGGCCCAAATTTATCCCACAAAAAAAACTTGTTCTATCGCAGAATAAACGCAGTACGCACAATCATTTTGAAATATTTTTGCTCATTGAAATTTTATTAGATTTTTTATCAATATTATTTGATTATCGCGCGCAAATAGATTCTTCATACGTCCTGCAAAAGAGTATAAGTTTTACTTACATTTTATTTTTTCAGTATACTCTACAAATGTATAGTATATATATTAAAAAAAAAAAAAAAGAAAGAATCCTACCCGAAACATTTGGTTTCTTTTTCTCACAGCAACTGCATATATATTAATTAAAAAAAAAAAAAAAAAAAAAACTGTAGAACTAAACGAAGTGGCGTATTGTAATTCATCAACATTACTCATAATGTTCCTATATCTACGATATACATACCTTTAAAGAGTAATATCAATTATTCAGACTGGCGAAATGAACATTGCTGTCGATAGAATAAGCATACTTCCCATTACCATACCAAAGATGATAATCTAGAATAGTACTATAGAATTATTTAGTTTATTAAACAAACAAAATACTAATTGCGCATATACACTAATAACATTGAATCATTCAAAATGATTATTAAAATGTTTATTTCTAATTATGTAGGAAAGAAATTATTTGTATTGCGTTAGAACAAAAATTTGTAAATCTTTACGATCTATCAGAGTCAATTCTTTGGTGCGTAATTTTGCTCGTTAGATAAGAACATAATCGCCGATTAAATGGCCTATCTTAATTTAATCAATGCTACGTCAATGCGTGTTATTAAAAAGTATTGTTATTTAATATCAATGTTCGAATATAATCTTTAAAACATATATTAACTAGATAGATATTATTAAGTAATATTTATTGTAATAAATTAACAAATACAAAATACTCCGGTTATTTCGTACGAAAGGAAAGAAGAAAAAAACAAGGAAAAGCTGATTCAACGTTCTGTGTAAATGTGATATTTACTCTCTAAACAGGATGCACAAAGATTTGACTCTGGTGATTATAAAAGAATAAGATAATAGTTTCAGTCGCAGTGATATTTTTGTGAGAATAGACTGATAGAGTTATTTATTATTGTTAGATTAATACATTTTAGAAATGATTATTTATATGTGATTTATATGTTAAATCTCTTTTTAATGAGCAATGGAATGTAATGCGCACATGATATTTATTTGTGTTAGGTATTAGAAAAGCATAGTAAAGAGAGATCATTAGAAAAATATAGTGTTAGTAAAATTAGAAGTTTAGATAACCAATGATTTAAAAAAATGTCTAGAATATTTCTTTTCATATTTCTTGTCATTTATTTTACGCATATCGCTGAAGAAAAACTTTTTTTAATTGTACATTGTACAACCGGTTGAAAAAATATCCCGGTAATAATAAGAAATATGTTTTACGTTTCTAAGCTAGCTTAGATTATATGAAATAATTCAAACTTTTATACTTACAAACTGTACAGACTTAGTTTTTAATCAATGAAGATTATAATTTTACAAACTACTACGTCAAGATGAATTAATACGTATTTAAAGTAATCATTATTTTAATTAGTTCCATTTAAAATACATTCCAGAAGTATAGAACTTTAAGTACATTATTAATATAATATATATTTCAAATTTAAACAAATTTTCTATTTCAAATTCATTCGTTAATTTTTTTAAATAATAATAATAATAATAATAATAATATAGTTAAAGAAATTTGAGAATGTTAATTTGTGATCATAATTACAGACATTTGTTTTTGGCAACAATTGACAGGTTTGGACATATTCAGAGGAATTAGCAAAATAATTGTTGCGAATGAATATTTCCTCTGTATTCAGCCATTTATAAAATTAAATGGTTTTTTTATATGATTATAAATAAATTATATTATGTCGTTAGACTTATGTGTCTCGATACGATTTATATCCTTTACGATCTCATCGTGTTTTTTTACTGGTAATTCATTTCAATTCAAACATTCATATGTGAGTTAAGAAATTATTGTTTTATTCAAAGACTTTGTACATTGTTAATATAAACGTAAATTTAAATATTTATTTTACGATAATTTTAATTTAATATTATTTTAGAACCATTTTAAATTGCTATTACAAAATATTCATTGTTGAAAATAATACAATAATGAGTATAACGTATAAAAACAATCTAATAATCGTTAATTAAAAACAAGTACATATGTTTATACGTACACTTCATTATCAATAAAAAAAAAGATATGGAAAGTCTAAATAAGAATTAATTAATATTTATATATATATATATATATATATATATATATACATTTATATAAATAGATATTTTTATTTAACTCTTTCAAATTTGTGTTCAATTTCAGTTATTCCAACAGGTTTCTTTATTTTCTCACAATATTCAATCCATTCGTATTCGTATAAATCAACATCCCTAAATTCAGTACCATTGTCGATAGCTTTAGCAATCCATCCTTCTCGTGCAGAAAAATCACATGGTTCTAATCCTCTACAATCTAATGTAACGATATCCTTAAATCTTCCTTGATCATCAGCAGTGAATGATTTAATAGAATCTTCTAAAATAGTCATCGATATCTCACGACCACAAAGCTTGCATTTAGCTAAAAAATGATTAACTGCGTTCCCTTTAGTACTTGGGATGGTATCATCTAAAGAAATAGAACACCATTTCTTTGTTATTTCGCCGCAATTGGTACATTTAAATTTGAAATACCAATTGTGATTATTCCCTGATGATTTCAATTCTTCAATATTCTCCAGCAATACTTTGATTTTCAATGCTATTTTAACCATTTTTTTTTTCTTGGTTATAGACAATTATTGAATTTTATTTAGGAACAATTTTTAACACAGATTTAAAAACTAAATCACTTCTTTTTTCTCTTCCTTTTCTTTTATTCTAGATGTTTTAATACTTTTAATATTTCATTTAAGTTCTCTTGTCTTTATTGATATCAACAAATATTTCTAACCTGACAACAATACATGCCAGATAGCGCATGCGTATCAAAATTAGGTTATGTCATAGAGACAGTTTCACTTTAGTAGTAACCATCAAGAGCACAATGAAGTTGTTAAAAAAGGAATTTAATTTTTTTATTTTCTTTATTTATTTTAACAATTTATTTATTGAAATAATTACGCAAGATATTTTAGGATGTGGTGGATTTTTAAAAAGTCACGCCGAGATAGACTTTACCAAAGTTCATATTAAATTGTAAATATACGTATTATTATATAGAGAGGTTATAAAATTATGCATATTATCAAATTAATTGAAAAATTAATTAATCAATTTTTATGTATTAGGTATACCAAAGGTGGTAGTTTAAAAGATGAAACAGAATGTGCACCGAATAATGGATATTATTTTTTACCACTCTACGATAAAGGAGAATATATTTTAAAGGTATACCACATACAGATTTTAAAATCATTTCTTTGACATATTGACTAATATTTTATATTAAAATATTTAATATTAGATAGATCCTCCAAGAGGTTGGAGTTTCGATCCCATGGAAGTTAATTTAAACGTAGATGGTTCTACTGATATTTGCAGTCAAGGAAAAGATATTAATTTTACCTTCAAAGGTTTTGGTATAACTGGCAAGGTAATTTATTCTATTTAAACAATGATTTTATTTGAAAAATAGTGTATCTGTAAATAGTTGTAATAATCATAATGACCTATTCTTAGGTAACTAGTTATAATTCTTTATCCGGTCCAAAAGATGTTACTGTTTCATTATATAATGCTACTGATAGAGAAACCATAGTTAGATCAACTAAGACTGCTGATGGCGGAACATTTTATTTTACGCCTATTCAACCAGGAAAATATATACTCGTCGCATCTCATCCTTCGTATGTATTTTATATTACAACTGTGTTTATATTATACTGGAGAATATTATATCATTGTATTAATCAAGGTGGATAATAAAACAAGGTACAGTTGAAGTAACTGTACAAGAAGGTAATGCTGAACTTCCAGATGGTAGTTTAGTAATATTTGGATACGATGTAAAAGGTCAAGTTACAAGTGAAAATGAACCAGTTAGCGGTGTATCCTTCATACTTTTTGGGGTGAGATTTATCATTAATAAAAACTTTATTTCAATATAAAATATTAATATTTATTTAATTATACAGAATGGGGCTGCTATGAAGTGTGAAACTATACCGGTTAAAGGATTTGAATCTAAAAATCCACTTTGTCATGTTACATCTGATAAAAGTGGAAAATTTATTTTTCCTGCATTGTCACCCGGTGATTACAAACTTGTACCACATTATCCTAGTGCTCACACTAAATTCGATGTTCAACCACCTGAATTGTTGTTCAAAGTTAATCATAACAGTCTGATATTGCCGCAAGATTTTAAAGTTACTGGTTTTACGGTAACTGGCATAGTTCGTATGTCAACAGATGGTAGACCATTAGCAAAAGCAAAAATTATATTCGCTGGAAAAGAAGTAGCTATGACTAATGAAGATGGAAAATATACAGTGGATAATGTCAAAGCTGGACAATATACTTTAAAAGCAGAAGCTAGTTAGTAAAAAATCATTTGTATAATGTATTTTCTATGAAAGTAATACTAACGATATGCTCATGTTTAGGTAATGTACAGTTTGAGGAGAGAACAGTCAAAGTTTCCCCAAGCTCACCCGAATTACCAGTTTTAATACCATTAACATATAAAGTTTGCGGAAAAGTAACATTATCTGCAAAAGGTACTTTACATTTCCGTAAAGTTGCTATACAAAATGTTGCCGGTACATTTCAAAAAGAAGTAGATGCAAATGAAAAAACTGGAGAATACTGTTTATATCTAAAACCTGATAATTATAAATTAAGCGTAATCGTCAGTAATGAAGAAAAAACAAAAGGTTTACAGTGAGTATTTTTTATATAATATATGAATTTGAATTGAAATTAAAAATGAATATTTGTTTCTTTATATTATAACAGATTCTTTCCTTTGGAACAATTTATTGCTGTATCATCCGAATCAATTAATGAAGTCAATTTCCTACAACTGAAAGCAACTTTAATCGGCACAGTCCAATGTTTGCCAGGAATAGATTGCAGTCAAACTTCGGTAACACTTAAAGTACTCGACGGAGTTACAATAAAAACTTACCAAACTAAAGGTGAGATTAAATAACAAAATATAAATAAATATTCCTAATATAAAATGTTTAAATAACAAATGTAGATTAATGTCAAGGTAGCATCGTTTAATTACTTTCAACAATGTGTTTTAAAAAAATAATAAAGCATATTCTTTATACCATTCTTTATAGTACCAGCCATTAAATACATTTGTTATTAATATAATATTTAAATGTAATTGATATTACTGTCTCTGTCTTTGAAGTTACTTTCTTTAATGCAGGTGGTCAATACAAATTCACCGATGTACTACCAGGATATTATGAAGTTTTAGTAGACAATGATGTATTTTGTTGGAAACATAATAATTATAGAATTTCTATAACGTCTGAACGTTTTGAAGTACCTCCTTTCGAACAGACTGGTTTCTCAATTACTTTTATTTCTTCTCATGAAACAACAGTCGAATATGTTGCACCGGGTGAAAGTAAAAAATCATCTTTAGTGTTATCCAAAGGTAGTACAAGACATTGCGTCTCAAAGTCTGGAGAATATAGTTTTACACCTAAAGGTTGTCATGTATACGATAAGGAAACATTTGTTTGGGATACGAGTAATTCATCCCCAATTATTTTAACGTCTACCGAACATCGTCATCTAGGAAATATCATTAGTTCGAGTGCATTGGATGGAGTCAAAGTTAAAATTGAAAGTACAAGCGGCAATATTATGTAAATGCATAAACAATTATTTTCTTAATAATTTGATAATTTATACGTTTAATTTAATACATTGCATTTTTTGATAGAATCGGCCCACTTAAATATATAAAGAAAGGAAATAATTTTAAATACGAGTTTGAATTTACAACGAAGACTGATAACGTTTACATTATTACTCCCCTATCAGATATGCTTTTATTTAATCCACCGTCCGTTAAAGTTCTTGGAGTAAATGAATGTCATAACGATATTGCAACTTTCACCGGGGATTTAGGAGTGGTATAATAATTATTCATATTTAATATAATTTATCGAAACGACGAATAATAAAAAAAGATATCATTGGTTAGATCATAGCAGGAAAAATTTCACCTCCTTTAGAAGGTGTGACGGTACAAATATTTGGCAAGGATAAAGAATCTCCTATGCATACAATTATTACAAAAAAAGAAGGAACTTACAGTGTTGGCCCGTTGGATGGAAAAATAGAATATAGGTAAACATATATTCTTATAAAACATTATTTTATAACACATTTTTAAATTCTACTACATTCATTTTCCAATTAGTGTTACAGCTGAAAAGGAAGGTTTTGTAATAACGGAATCAGACAGTAAAGGAGTATTTTTAGCACGAAAATTAGCTGAAATAATAGTGCAAGTATACGATCAAGCAGATAATTCGTCATTACAGGTAAAATAATCATTTATTTATATTGCAAATATTATTTTTCATATAATAATAACAAATGAAATATTTTGATCGTATTAACAGGGAGTTTTACTTTCTCTCTCCGGTGGGCAAAATTATCGTAAAAATAGTATAACGAGTGACGAAGGAAAATTAATTTTCAATTCATTATCACCCGGAGAATATTATCTAAGACCAATGATGAAGGAATATAGATTTGAGCCACCATCGAAAATGATTAATGTAGCCGAAGGTGCTACTGTCGTTGTAAATTTATTTGGTAACAGAGTTGCATTTAGTGCTTACGGATCAGTAACGTCATTAAACGGTGAACCGGAAGCGGGATTATTGGTTGAAGCTCAAGGTCAAGGAGATTGTTCCAATCTTCAAGAAGAAGCAACTACCGAAGAGAACGGTACTTTTAGAATTAGAGGCCTTCAACCATTAGTAAGTATATTAAATTATTTCGAAAAATAATCAAATTTAAATATATATATATATATATATATATATATATTAATATTAATTTATTATTTGTTTAATAGTGTACATATATATTACGTTTGAAATCTAACGTAGAAGCAAATAGTCATATTCAACGTACAAGTCCTAGTTCATTGATGATACAAACAGATGAAGATATTCACGGACTTAGATTAATCGCTTTCCATCCAATTTCACGTACAGATATTTCCGCTTATGTTATTTCAATTCAACCAGAACATTATCGTACCTTAAAAGTGAAATTATGTAGGGAAGACATGCCAGACTCACCAATACACATATCCAAATTGGATACGCAGCATTTAAATAAAATTAGCAGTTCGTATAACGCAGGATTCCTCGTACACTTTCCATCTTTACAAGCGGATAACAAGAAATACTTCATACAACTGGAATCATCCTTATTGCCTAGCTTGCATAAGTATAAAACTAATCCTGTTTATTTCGAAGCTAATTCTTCGTTCAGATATGTTAAATTAATTTTTAGTGCAGAACGAAAAGTGGATCAAGGAGATATGAATCAAACTTCGATAGTAGCTTTACCATTTATATTGTTAATTACGATTGCATTTTTCAATCGTGAAAAATTGTGGAGCTGGCTAAATACTTTGGTAGAAAGGTGGTCTAAACCTACACCGATTTCTAGAACATCGGTTCAAGCGATCCCCATAGATCCAAGAGCTGATGATATTATTGTTGAACAAATAATGAACATTAACAAAAGAAAAACAAAACCAAGAAAAGCATAACATTCTAAAGAACTTTTGTTTCAACATTTTACACAAGAATGATGTTCCAATCTGTGGATCTCATTTTCATTTATGTTCGCTCCTATTTTGGATTAGTTACTACATGGATTATTCTAAAAACAACATCATTGTAAATTTTGATATATTAATATTAACGATTGCAAGAGAATTTTGTAGAATTTTCATAATATTAATCGCAAATGAGTTGATAATGTAATATAAGATCAAATCATCACATAGAATATTTTATAAATATATGCAATTTATAAATTATATAATAAAATATATATGTATATATATTTATTAATATATATACATATATTTGTATACATAGAAACAAAAAGGTTGTATTAAATGATAATAATAATATTGAATTAAAAAATTGTTCTTGTTTGAATGTTGTTATCGTATAAAAAGTACTGAAATTAAATTAAATACAAACATATAACGTTGTTTTATCAGGTAAAATTAAAGCCAAAAATGAAACTATTTTTAAAGTATATTTAGTAATACTATCATTTTTAAAAATGTTTTACATACATAGATATAATTGTATACATGATCCATATGTGATGCGACGCAAGTCTTTAATTTACCTTTACGATAATTTGCAATGTTTTTTTTCCCTCACTCGTAGGTATTTAAGGAATGAAATATGCCTATATATAAAGAAAAGAAGATAAATCATTGGTAAGATAACTAAATTAAAAATGATAAAATTAACATTTTCTTTAAAACATACCACAGGATTTGCGAAGTATAAACATTTATTAAAATTGTAGGCCAATTCGCATCTGTCAGCACCAGCTGAAAATAATATATTATCGTTCTTGTATACAGATATTGAAAAACATTAACATTTTCATTTGAATTAATCAATTACTTCTGAGATATACTTACTGATATCACGACATTCATCAACCATATCTTGAGCCAAAGGTTTCCATACTTCCGGTATAGACATTAACAACATTTTGAAGTTTATTTTACTATCTTTGGTAAACTGATAATAAAAAGAAAAGTAAGTTTCATCGTTCATGTTATTAGTATATTATTTAATTATTAAATAATTTTAAATTGTACAATAATTTCTCTTACCATATTAAATTTCTCTAATACGCATTTAAAATAGCAACCAAGTTTATCGTCGTGGGTAAAGTATCCAATTTCTGCCTCGTCAATGATATCTACGATTGAAATAATACAAAGAATATTATTAGATTATTAAGTATGAAATTTCCGATTTCGAATCGAAAGTAATCGGAATAATCGGATGTTTCATACTTAATTACCTAACATATTTTTTTTTTTTTTTAAATATATTATAATAATTTTAATATATAGTCTAGATCATCTGATCTCAAAGAAATTGTTTGTATACTGAAAATAATATTAACATACATACCTTCTGTGAGTCCTATTTCAGCGAGACATTTTTTACGTTGAGGTGCAGTGATTTTCCTCAAATCCAATTGAGCCTGACGTATAAAATAAAAAATAAATATCCAAAATAATATAAAATTTCACTCTCGTTTTAGTTACAATCAAGAAAAAAAAAGAAGATAAAATTACGCTCACCTTAACTATTGAAGAAGTGAAGATAGTAGCTATAAGAATCAAAACTAATAGTTTCATTTTGAAAATTAAAAGAAGACAAAAGGACTTGATTGGAGTCTACTGCAGAAACAAAATCGGAAACTAATGTGGATGATGGCGTTTTATATGTACTTCTTATAACAAAAGTGGGAGTTTTACATAATACAAGTAGAATTTACAGAGGTGAGAATTTATTTTTCTTTTATTTTTATTTTTTTTTAAATTATTTGATCTCTTCTGTTAAAAGTATAGAGTATTTAGGTGCTATTAAGAGTCACTTATAGGTGTATAATTATCAGGTAGAAGATTCGCTCGCATAAGTATTTCATATTTTCCTACCGGAAAATTAACCGTGATAAACGTTTATCTTCCAAATTTGAGATTCCTCCTGATCTCTATGATCGTTCTTAATTGCATCTTTGGTTACGATATAATAGTTACGTTCGATAATATGTCTGACCATATAATTGTGTCCTACTACTTGCTAGGATTTCATAATAGCATGTAATGAATCGACCAGAAAGTTCGTGCCAATTTATAAATGTATACGGCACGAATTTTTCGTTGATTCAAATACGTGCATTTATTTGTTTGCATATTTACGTTTGATTGAACAAAAGTAATAGATTAAACAAAAAATATAAAACAAAGTTAAAAATGACCAATTGTTGAAGACATACATACCCAATATGGAGAACACCAAATCAATTTTTATGTAAACAAAATTTATTTTTATTATAAAAAGTAAAATATTTATTGAAATACAAAATGCAAATAAACCAAAAAAATGTACAGATTTAATAATATATTTTATATTGGGGTGTTCCATATTAGGTACATTTACCCTATATCTATACATACATATACATATATGCACATGCATGTGTGCGAACGAATTGCTGCTATTAGCCCACGTTTATCACGTTGATCGTGATAAGTCGAGTTTTCAATTTATCAACACATGCCGCTCGTGTTCTACTTTGTATGCGAGTAGCCCCAGTTGACAATTGATGACTACAACAGACCGATTTGAAAAGGCCGGTCTAGGTGACGATGCCTTTATCAAATCGATTATTATTAATGATCATGATCCGGCTCGATCTTTGAGATTGCACGGTGAAATAACTCGTTCGTTCTTCTTTATCAAGCCTATTTGTTCTTCTTCTTCTTTTACGTATGTACGAGTTATATAAATAAATACGTAAGATAGTGGTAATGAAATCTCTCAGTGAGGTGCAATTATTAAAGAAGATTTATTTTTTTTTTTTAATATATTTTATAAAGTATTAGAACTTACGGTGTATACGAGACAGTTATATGAGAATGTAAAATCACTTGATTGTATAAATCTCAACACATTCGGCGATATCGTTTCTTTTTAATATTTTTATAACTCATCTTTGATCGTAGTGCTCCCTTAGGATCGATGAAATTTCATTAGAATAGATAATAGGTCTAAAAACACACGCGAATTTGTAGTAAATTAATGAAAGAAAATATTTCAACGTTTTAAATATACTTAGGGTTATTTACAAAATTTCGCACACAAATTGTCCTGGTATATATATACCTATTGTGTTTTTTTTTTTTTAAATAAAAATATAATTTTTCAATTAAAATACTTACTCTCGGAGATATTTTTGCATAACACATATTAAATTCGTACGCGTATTGACACTTATCACCCTTGGCTAAAAAATATATTAAAAATGAATTACGAATGAATTAGAAAACAGATTTAAGAGGTGTAAAAACAAAAAGTAAAAAATTAAAGATCAACATGAAAATAAAATAATTGAAAAATGTTTAAACGCATTGTTAACTCCAACGCAACGATTATAATCTTACGAAATGAATAAAATAGAAGTAACAAAAAGAAACAAAATCAATGTATATTTACCCAAGTATTTACCGATCAGCTTGCAATCGCTAATTCCTTTCAAAACTTCCGCCCTGTAGGCTGGCATTCTTTGGAAAAATGTTAGCATACCATTCAAATTTAATTCCCCTTTATCGTCGATTAGACCAAATTGTTCCCAGAGGCAATACATGTAACACTGCAATCGACATATAACAGAATTATCTCGATGTAACTTTGAATTATTCAATTAGTCTCTCTTTCTCTCTTTTATTATCATCATCATCATCATTATCATCATTATCATCATCATCATCATCATCATCATCATTATCATGATCATCATCATGATTGTTAAGTGCATTACTTTCTTTGGACATTCACCTTTAATTCAGGCGTCTCCGGCCACTTATCGTTTCTCACCGCTTCAATGTCCTCTTAAAAATTCAAATCAAACGCGATCGAATCAAAATAATAAATCGATACTTTATTTTTACAATTAATACAAAAAAATTAAAAAAGAAAAATTATTCAAATAAAATTTGGATCATACCTGTAGCTACTCCTGTTTGTGTCTGACAAGCATTCACTACGCTAACCGCTGTTGCGATCATTTCATCGGAAACGAAGCTTGGTCGTTTCTAGGGAACAAGTTAACGCTAAATTTAATTTTTAAATTATTTTTAAAAAGAAGAAGAAGATATCCACATATAACAATTTTAAAATAACAAAATTAATAATTATAGTAATAATTGTCCCTGTATAAAAAAGAGGATCAAACTTGAATAAAAATAAGTCAGATAATTATTAATCATTTTCTAATTTTCAACAATATAAAAAAGAAAATAATAATTAAATGAAAAATAACATTGTCGTATATAAAAAAAAAAAGATATAAATTAAGAAACAAATAAGATAAATAGTCCAATAATTTGCATATCATACGAAACATGCAATTAAAAAAAAATAAAAGAAAATTATTTTTATAAAATAATCCAGACGTACCCCGCAATGAACGTAGGATGTCTCAATGAGACAAATAAGCAAAATAATGATGAGTTTCATCCTTGGCTTTGATAATCCCGCGTCTCTCCTTCAACAACCTTTCTTCAAAAGATCGATTTTTCTTGGCGTCGGTCGATCGTAAAAGGGGATGCTAAGAACAGGACAAATCGTTTTCCCAATAATACAAAAATTCAATTTTGATTAAAAATAAAATCCGAAAGAAGGAATGTGTAAATCTCACTTGCAATTAGATTTCTTTGGATTTTTGTTTGTTGAATTTTTTTTTTATTTTTACCCGCCTAGAATACAACGAACGTATGTATGTAAGTGACTGCGTTTTGCTGGCTGACACAACCGTCAAGCGCGAGGGTGGAACTGATGATAGGCGTGATAAGAGAGATTGGGTGAGGTGGTATCCCAGTTCGGGGGTCGAAGGGAGGTACCTCTGGAGACGCATAGAGAAAACGCCAGATGGAGGATGCTGCGTTCGCGGACATTTGGAACACTTTGATAAAAAAGATATAAATGGAAAAAAAAATGCAACCCATACTCTTACCACCCTCTTCTCTAGTAACGCTGATAGACGCTCCAATAATTTTGTTAGAAAAAATTTGATCAAAGGAATGATATATTTCTCGATTTATTGATCCTTTGCAGATCTATTGGATAGTCAAGAAAGTTCATGTCGTCCCTAGATGTATGCATTATTTATTTCTATTAATTAAAACGATTTTGGAATTTTCTTGATTAGTCAATATTTAAATAGTATAATCCCTGTAACAGAATTGGTGGTGTCTACATAAAATAAGTCATTACTACTTAAGTCTGAACAAAATGACTGCTGACTACTTAACCGCTAGTTACCGAGGAGAACAGTGTTACAACTCATATTACGCATATCTTTGCCTACGTATGGGTTAGAACAACGTATCTAACAATATGAGAAATTATTTTTGTAGGACAGATTCGTAACACGGTCTCTTTCGATTCTAGGCCAGAGTCTTTGATGCATAGTTACATTTGATCGGCGGATGCTACCAGTTTACGATCCCTATCCTCCATAATGTATCTTGTTCGACTGCGCTCCGACAATCAAATAAGTAAATACTTTGCCCCGTTTTTTTTTCTTTTTTTCTTCTTTCATTTTGTTAACTATTCGAATATAAAATTAGATTTAACCAAAACCGAGAATCTCCGATTATTAGTTAACTTTCTAAATTTAAAAACATATATTAAATTTCTCTTTATTAATATTCTATCAGGAATTAAATCTACGGATAATTATCGAATTATTTTCAGATAATATATCGGAACGTTATCTTTTTTATTTAACATCTGTTACGCTTTCTTTTCTTTTCGATACAATTAATTTTTTATATCCATTTAAATGTTAATATTATTATAATAAAAATCAAAACAAAAAAATATATTAAATATATAGGAAAGATTATTCTACCAGTCAATAGAATTCCAACGAAGGTAAATGTGTATATATGTATGTATATATGTATAAAACTGAACCAACCTTGAATAACTCTCTTGGTGTGTACAGTCGCCAGTAAAATTATTGACCAATTGATCGTTCAATCATATTATTTTGATCGCAAACGATCGATGAAAAAAACAATAAAAATGAAATGATTTAATATCATAGAAATTTATTATCTTTAACTTTTCTCATAACATTGTTAGTCAGATCGCTATTATATTTTATTAACTACTCGCATAATTTACTTCAACGTTACCATGGACTGTACTTTTCCCGTCAATCGCAGGTACAGTCTACGAACGAATTACTATTGTCGTTCTTTCTAAAATTACTATTTTTTTAAATAAATCATCGATAATGCAAATATTCAAAAAAATATACTTCAAAATAAATAAAATGTTCTTATAAAGATTTAAAATATATTTATTACATTGTAATGAAAATAAAAACGAATAAAAAGATTGGAAAATTAAAAAATCTAATTCAATTTATTGGACAATATATTTTCATCGGTGACTGTACGGTCGATGTCGTACAGTCATTCGAACGAACTTTAATTGACGTCTCGTCAAATACATCTTCGTTTGTTTAAATTAATGCAAAGAGTGAATAGTTAAATAATAAAAAATAAACTATCACGTGATAATAAAACATAAGATGTAATTTCACGTATAACAATCATGCAATCTTCTCAATCACCAATAACGTTAAATTCGTACATTTGGAGGTTAGTTCGTAGCGTGACAAAATAATCTCCACGGAGACTGTACAGCTGAAGTTGTATTGACCGCGGTGTTTTCTCCGCGAGGATACGTTTCATCGAAAGAAAAAAAGGAAAGGAAAAAATACACGCATACACAAACGTGACAGAACAGAACAGAAGAAGAAAAAAAAGAGAGAAAGAAAGAAAATAGTAAAACACAGTGGTATATACTTTAACCGGTTAAATGTAAAAGCCCGATCACACACACACACAGAAAGATTGTCTACGTTGTGAGATGATTTTAGTGCGCGTTAAAATGTCCGATAAGATTGACGTGAATTAAAAAGAAAAACAAAAAGTATTCTTCCTTTTTTATTTCGATTTATTTATTTATCATTTCGACGTCTGTCTGTCAAAGTTTCGTCTCAAATCATCGAAGCGCAGAGAGCATCACGATGACGAAAACGAAAAAGAAGAAATATTTCATAATTCATTTTATTGCATCCAAGTGACAATGATGTTTAGATTATCGCATAAGTATTCGAATTTAATTATAAGATACATGATACGCGATTTGCATTATCTATGTCATCCTTATTTTCGAACGATAAGGACAAATTCGGATAAACTTGTTGTTCTGGTGATATGTACAGCCATTTGTCACGTGGTTCCCTCCTACTTTTATAATACGTCACTTGTCGCGTGAAATTTGAAATTTTTTCTCCCACTAACGTTATCTCCCTTCTTTAACCCTTTCTCTTTTTCCTCTTGAAATTATTTAAAAAGAAAGTTAATATAACAACAATGGGTAAAACAAGAGGGGTGCATGAAACCACCCCAGAATTAAGAAACCGAATGGTTGGAATGTACGAGGCTGGTTTGGGATTAAGAGAAATTGCTGCTGCTGTTAATTGTTCGGTAAATTTTCTCTTATTTGTTTATAATATATTATCATTTTTCTTATTTTTTTTATTAAATATTATATGTATTTCATTTAACAATTTGATTTTATTCTATTCATCTAGCAACGTACAGTCAAAAGATGGCTCAATCGATTCGATAAAGAAGGCAATGTGGAAACCAGAGAACGTTGTGGTCGTAAGAGAGCTACAACAGCAGAACAAGATGAAGCGATAATCAAGCTTGCTACCCAAACACCTTTGACTGCTGCTAAAGCTGTACTTCCAGCTTTAGGACTCACCTGTTCTGTTGATACTGTACGAGAAAGATTGCATAAAGCTGGAATTCATAGTTGGACGCCGTCTAGGAAATATATGCAAAGGATTCCACTCGGGTTAGTTTCTATATTGTAATATTTATTGATCTATTGAAAGAATTATTTTTGTTATTTTATTTCATCTGATTTTGGTATGCAATATTTTAGAAATGATGCAGATGGTGCAGCTATTCAACAAGCTGTATGGAGACCTACAGGTACTCAATTGGGAAAAAAGAAATCTAATAAAGATTCCACCAAGAACGACAAAAGTATACAAAAAAAGAAAAATCCTCCACGTAAAGTTAGAACCAGAGATATTTATGTCGGCGATGGTGCACCTGTAGAAAATTTAAAACAATCTACTGAACAGCAGCAACAGCAACAACAAGAATTTGGATTCGTGCAACAAAATATTCCTCAAGAACAAACCAATGAATTACAAAATACTACTCAAGCATTACCTGACAATCAAACAGAATTTAACAATGGATTGACTATGAGTCAACAACCGCAACCTATGTATCAACATCCTAGTATGAATATCGCACAAAATAATTGGCCCCTCGATCTTGTACAAGGCAGCCATCATTATCCACAAGTATGACTTTTTTTTTTATATTGTTATACCAATTTTTATAATGTTGTACAATGTATTTCATTGACGATAAAATATTTTCTTTTATAAGGGTCAACCAACTACTGTAAATCATAAACCGATGGCACCTCAACACCAACTTCAAGAGCTCCATAGTCAAGGAGAGCAACATCACATGCAACAAGTGCAGCAACAGCAGGCTCAACAAAGATTGCAGGAAGATGCCAGTATTCATCATTCGAAATTTGATTCTCAGCAAGCACAAATTCAAGTGGATCATCAGGCCCAACAACAGCAGGAACAAAACCTACAATCAAAATTATCTAATCCTGTGAATAACACAAGTATCGGTTCGGATAGTTCAAATTCTTGTAGTTCTCTTGAAAGTAATCAACTATCGAATACAGATAGTGTACAAGTTGATGATATGTCAAAAGGAGAAAGTAAACATTCAGAAAGACAAAAGAGAAAAAAGAAAGGTGGTAAAGCAAAAGGGACGCTGGAAACTAGTGTAGAAATTAGAAACCGTATGATCGGAATGTCGGAAGCAGGACTATCTACATTATCCATTGCATTAGCAATTGATAGATCGGTAAATTTAATTATAAATATATTCTATATTTATTTCATAAAATCTTTGTATATTTTAAAGATTTTTTAATTATATATATATATA